GTAGAGTGCTAGCCTTGAGCTGAAGAGCTGAGGGACAGCGCCCAGGCCCAGAGTTCAGGCCCCACAACCGGACCCAAATAAACCCAAAAAACATTGTTGCAGAGAAGTTTGATAAATCATGCCCTCATGTTAGAAATTCCATTCACAAACCACCTAACAGAAAAAAGCGTATCTTTTTATTCATGTTTTGCAGACTACTAAAATTAAAGCTAACCGCTGCGGTTTAACAAATAGTAGGTCAGGACATGAGTGTCGAATCTTATTCCTTTAGGTTCAGTGGGGGTTTTTTTGCCTTTGTGTTTTGGGTTGGACCAGAGGAAGTGAAAAGGTAGAGAGAGGGCAGCCCAGAAGCCCTGGGAGGCTTAGTCACCTCGACCAGACTCTTCTCGGGGCTCAACGGTTACCAAAATGAATTACAATCTTATTAAAATGAATTGATAACATCTGCCCCCGCAAGGGCGAAAGCATTAAAGCTAAGGAGGATAGGATTCCCAGCGCTTTTTTCAAAGGTAGGGCAGACGGGAGGAAAGGCTTAAAGACCAACGCCGAGAGGGTGGGGGAGGAAGGGCGTCGAAAGCAGATAAAGCCTTCCTTCCCGGGAGCGCACTCCCAGTCCCGGGCAGACCCGGCCGTCTTCAAGGCACCCGGAGGTGGGAGCAAGGACCTCTCCTAACGGCCTAAGAACACGGCCTGCACCCCGCGGCGCTCGGTGCGGGAGTGCTGAGTGAATCAGTGACGGAATTGGCGGGGAGCGTCCTCAGCTCCAGAGGCTCACGCCCCAGCCCAGCCCCGCGGGCCGCCGCACTCACCGGGCGCCAAAGTTTCCTTAGGCTGGCTGCAAGCCTCCGCTTCCCACCGCCACCGCCTCGGGAGCTCCAGGGGCTGCAGCAACTCTAACTTGCCCTAGCAGTCGTCCTTTCAGCACGCCACAGCCACAGCCGTTCCCAGGCTCCGAACCGCCAGGAAAGACAGGAAAGAAAATTTCGCGCCAAACGGCGTAACCCCGCCCCCAGGCTGCCTCCGTGGGGCGTCATCACCAAGCTCGCCCCGCCTACCCAAGGGCGCGTCACTTACTTCCGGCAACGTGCCTCGACCAGCATTGATTCGCTCGGCGCGCAACTCACGGAAGTTCCAAGCAGTAGCTTCCGGTTCCAAGATGGCCGCCTAAGCAGGGTAGATTTTTTTCCCTTTCTCCCTCAGGAGCTAGATATACATATACATTTTTTTTTTCCTGTAACTTGTGTGTGACGCAGTAAAGGAGTCGACGGAAGTAGGTCTGAAAGCGTTCTAAAATGGCGAACCGTACGGTGAAGGATGCACATAGCATCCATGGTACCAACCCTCAATATCTGGTAGAGAAGATCATTCGGACGCGAATCTACGAGTCCAAGTATTGGAAAGAAGAGTGCTTTGGGCTTACAGGTGAGGAAGACGGCGCGGGCCCCACCTCGGCTGCCGCGGGGCCCTTTTCTACCCGCACTCGGTACGCACAGGACCAACACCTAGGGCTCCTTCTTACTGGAACGGAGCATGTCAGTCATTCAGAAAAACTGAGCGCCTACTGTGTGCCGAGACTGGTGTGGAGCATTGGGGATTCATGAGTCTGATAGAACGTCTCATTTAGGTTCTTTGAGTCGTTTCATATATATTGGTTGCCTGCTGGGTTCCAGTGTTAAGAAATCCTGTAAGAGACAACCAACTCGAGCAACAGAAAATTAGCTGGCTCATAACCAAATTCATACTGTCCATAATCTGGCAGTTCCAATATTCCCACGTTCCGGTGCTTGAGAGAAGCCTTCTAGGAAGTCTTCCCATCTTGCGTTCAGATTCTGGTATTAAATGTATGTCGTATGATACTCAGGCTGTGGACCTTGCGCAAGTAAATCACTTAACTTTCCGTAGTCTTTTTTTTTTCTTACATGGAATTTGCAGCGATTTGTTGTAAGGAATAAGTAATATTAAATACTTACCAGAAGGTCTGGCATGTAGTAATCTTTCAGTCTATATTAGCTATTATCATTATTGCATGGACGTGCACTTCTTCTAATATTGAACTCCTATTGACTACTTAGGATGTCCATACCTTCAGATTTCCCCACTTCCAACCAAGAAAATTATGTCTGACATGACATACTGTTTTTATTTCTTTAGCTGAACTTGTTGTGGATAAAGCCATGGAGTTGAGGTTTGTTGGTGGTGTCTATGGTGGAAACATAAAACCAACTCCCTTTCTGTGTTTAACCTTGAAGATGCTTCAGATTCAACCTGAGAAGGATATCATTGTTGAATTTATTAAAAATGAAGATTTCAAGTGAGTGAAATGTTAATTGTTATAAAGTTTAAGTTTCTGTGGTTCAGAATTGGGCTTTCAGAGGGGTGCATTCAGCTGGGTGCTAGTGGCTTACGCCTATAATCCTAGCTACTCAGGAGGCTGAGATCTGAGGATCACAGTTCAAAGCCAGCCCAGGCAGGAAAGTCTTATTTCCAATTAACCACCAGAAAGACTTGTATAGTTACTCCACAAATGAGGCAGGCTTATTGTATATACAGTTAAGCAGAAGGAGTGCCTAATATGTTGGTAGACAATGGATACTGAGCGGTGGAGAAAACAGTATAAGGTGGTAGTTAACATGTTAAATTTATATTCATGTCCAGAATTTTATTACTCATGACCTGTGACCTTAAGAAGTTCCTTAGTGGCTGGACACTGGTGTCTCACCCCTGTAATCCTAGCTACTCAGGAGGCTGAGATTTAAGGATCGCGGTTCAAAGCCAGCCCTGGCAGGAAAATCTGTGAAACTCTTTTTTTTTTTTTTAAGATCCGGTCGTGAGGCCTGAACTCTGGGCCTGGGCGCTGTCCCTCAGCTATTCAGCTCAAGGCTAGCGCTCTACCACTTGAGCCACAGTGCCACTTCCGGCTTTTTTCTTTTTGCTTATGTGGTGCTGAGGAATTGAACCCAGGGCCTCAGGCATGCAAGGCAAGCACTCTACCACTGAGCCACCTTCCCAGCCTCTGAGTCAAAATTCTTGACATTTATCTCATTCAATTTTACAATAATCCTAAAGCAATATCCAACCACCAGAAGTATACAGGAAGTGTTCATTATTGAAATATTTGTTAAATAAGGGGCAAATGTTATCACTTTAAGGTGATAAACTTGTCCGGTTTTTACAAAGGATGGCACAAACTTAACTCAAATCCTGAACAGCTAGCTATCCTCTTACTAACTTCACTTTCCAACATACTGTGTGAAGTTGGATATTACTTCTGAGTTTATTTCTGATAGTTTATTACAATAAGTGAGGTTTATAGCCATTAAGAAGTCCACTGGGCATTAATTTCCTTACTCACAGTATTATTTATTAAGCATGTATTGTGTGCACTATTTCCAGGCTTATTAATGATAAGTGAGAAAATGCAAAAATAGTAAATCCATTCCGCATTTTTATTCACTTGTAAAGGTTGATGGTTTTATGTATTTTTTAAATTAATTAATTAATTTATTTATTTTTGCCAGTCCTGGGGCTTGAACTCAGGGCCCTGGCACTGTCCCTAAGCTTCTTTTTTTGCTCAAGGCTGGCACTCTAGCCACAGCGTCACTTCCAGCTTTTTCTGTTGAGGTGGTACTGAGGAATTAAAGCCAGGGTTTCATGCATGCTAGGCAAGCACTCTACCACTAAGCCACATTCCCGGCCCAGTTCTATGCAATTTTTAAATAAAGTGCCCTCTATTACATTTAAAAAACCATTGCAGAGGGGCTGGGAAGGTGGCTCAGTGGTAGAGCGCTTGCCTTGCATGCATGAGGCCCTGGGTTTGATTCCTCAGCACCACATAAGCAAAAAGAAAAAAGCCGGAAGTGGCGCTGTGGCTCAAGTAGTAGAGCGCTAGCCTTGAACTGAAGAGCTGAGGGACAGCGCCCAGGCCCAGAGTTCAGGCCCCACGACCGGACCAAAAAAAAAAAAAGATTATTTTGCTCAGGGCTAGCGATCTACCACTTGAACCACAGTGCCACTTCCAGCTTTTTCTGAATAGTTTATTGGAGATAAGAGTATCATAGACTTTCCTGCCCAGCTGGCTTCAAGCTGCAGTCCTCAGATCTCAGCCTCCTGTGTAGCCAGGATTAAAGGTTTGAGCCACCAGCACCTAGCTTGTCACATTTTTTTTCTACTGGCCTCTTGTCTAGAACTGTATTCTGTACTGCAGAGTGTAACTGTAAGAATGTCACTTAAAATCTAATGATACTTTTTTTAATTCATAAAGAGATACTTTTATGCTAAGATGAATTTGGGGTTATGTAATCAAAACTTTTTCTCCATGTTGTAACAAGAAAGTGATAGTTGCCTTTCCCCTCTACATGTACCTTTAATAGAAGATTAAAAATTTGATATAGGTTGAGTATTCCTTGGGACTATAATGTTTCAGATTTCAGAGTTTTTTGAAATTTGGAATCTTAATTTATTGAATAAATACATATTAAGTGCCATTGGTATGCTAGGACTTGTATAATGGAAATACCATGATGAACAAGATAGATACGAACATTGTCATTTGGAGTTACTTAGGATTGTCATATAAAAATAAAATAGGATTTCTCAATATGTTGATATTGTGGTCCTGATAGCTTTTTGCTATGTGGGTTGTCTTGTCATTGTAGAATATTTAGCAGCATCCCTGGCCACTCTCCATCGGGTACAGGTAGCACTTTCTGTAAGAAGGGTACAAAATTGGTTGAAGTTGAAAACCCACTAAACTAAGATGATAAATACCATGGAAGTTTTTTAAAGCTGACAATGTGTCAAAAAAGATAAGTGTTCTATATTCAGAAACATTGTGAGTTCATGTGATAAGTTATGTGACAGTTATAGGATCTGTTAAAATTACCTTGAGTTACAAGATTACCCATACATAATCTGGACTGTTGTACCTTATGACAGCTTCATTCATCCCTTAAGTCTTTGCTTCTAAGCCCAGACTGTAGATGGCCTCATATAAAGTCTTCCAATTGTTTTTCTTTTTTGTTACCTAATATGTTATTTTCAGGTTGCTTGAGTTACTGATTTTTTCTTTCAGAATTTGAACTGATGCATGTAGATGAGTTCATTGATGAATTACTGCACAGTGAGAGAGTCTGTGATATTATTCTTCCCCGGCTCCAGGTAAGATACAAGGTTTATTGTTGGGGGTCACCCTTTCCCTCCATGATGGAAATAAGAGAGACAAACCCAGATATATATACCCATTAAAGCCCTGACTCTTACAAATTGTCTTAATAAGTACTCTTTTTACCTATGAAAATGATAGAGAAGTCCAGCCCAGTGCCTCAAACCTGCAATACTAACTACTTGAAACGTAGAGGTCAGTAGATTATGGTTCAAGACTGGGCAGGGCATAAAGCATAAAGTTTGTAAAACTCCCATCTCAATCAATGGCTGGAATGTTGAATATGTGCCTGCTCCCTAGTGACGAAGGGAAGCACAAATAGGAGGATTACACTCTAGGCTGGTTTGAGCATAAAGTGAGATGCTGTCTTGAAATAACCAACATAAAACGGGTCTGGCTGTGTGGTTCAAATGGTATAGTGCCTGCCTCATGAGTATGAGGCACTGGTCATATTCAACTACTCCCCCCCAAAAAAAAAATAAATAAAAAATAAAAGTGATAGAGGAAGAGAGGAAAGCAGATAAAATACTTGAGGATAGAGTTTTAAGGGTGAATAGTTAAAATAGGAAATTTTTCTTTTCTGATATGTTATAGCAAGGCTACCATAGCTAGAGTAGAGGTTTCTAAACTTTATGAGATTTTTTTCCAAATTGTTATGCCTAGGCTAGGGGCTGGGAAGGTGGCTCAGTGGTAAAGTGCTTGCCTTGCATGCCTGAGGCCCTGGGTTTGATTTCTCAACACCACATAAACAAAAAGAAAAAAGCCGGAAGTGGCGCTGTGGCTCAAGTGGTAGAGCACTAGCCTTGAGCTGAAGAGCTGAGGGACAGCGCCCAGGCCCAGAGTTCAGGCCCCACAACCGGACCCCCCCCCCAAAAAAAAAAAAAAGGTAAGGCTATAAAACAGATAAGATTAGGTTGCATTCTGAAATTAAGCATTTTTTTTGGTCTTTTTTTACTTGGCTTATTTATGACTACATTTTATTGCTGGACAGTTCTTCATTGTGTGTAAACATCACAGTTTGGGTAGCAATTTATCTGTTTATACAGATCTGAGATCAGTATGCAAAAATCAACTATCTTGCTGGGCACGGGTGGCTTATGCCTTTAATCCTACCTACTCAGGAAGCGAAGATCTGAGGATCACAGTTCCAAGCCAGCCTGAGCAGTAAAGTGGTTCTTTTCTCCTGTTAACCACCCAAAAGCCAAAACTAGAGCTGTGTGAAGTGGTACTGTGCTAGCCTGGAGCAGAAAAGCTCAGGTCAAGCCCTAGGACTGGCACAAAAAGCAAAAAAAGCATCAGTGGAATAAAATTAAGGAGCCTAAAATAAACGTTTGCATACACAGACATTGGTTTTCTAAAGATATGTGAGGGCAATACTATTGAGAAGTGACAGTCTCTCCTGCACTGGTGCAGGAACAATTTAGTGTCCATATGCATACAAGTGAACCTCTGCCCTTTGTTCACACTATTTCAAGTAAAAAGTACTTAAAGGGAATCATAGACTTAAATATGAATGCAAAGACTAAAGCATTTCTAACAAGTTCCTTGTGATTGATAAACTTTTCTCTTGACAATAAAAAAATGGGAAAATAATCACAAGATTGTATTTGATTTACATAGAATTCACTGGTTAAACTTCCTTAATTTGAAATATTCCAAAATCTAAAACATTTTGAGCATCAACATGACATTCTAAAAGTTATTTGTTTTTTGTTGGTTGTGGGGCTTGAGCTCTGGGCCTGGGCACTGTCCCTGAACCTATGCATGCTCAAGGCTAGAGCTCTACCGCTTGAGCCACGGTGCCACTTCACTTTTTCTGTTTATGTGGTACTGAGCAATTGAACCCAGGGCTTCATGCATGCTAGACAAGCACTTTACCACTAAGCCACATTCTCAGCCCTAACAGTTTACTTTTTATTGCCCGGAAACCATATGTTCATCTGTAAGTGTGAATAGATGAAAATACTGTGACATATACTGACAATGGTATATTACTCAGAAATAAAAATTAAGTATTGATATAGTAACAGATAACTACAGAGTAATTATGGTAGAATTGGGTGCTGGTGGCTCATGCCTATAATCCTAGCTACTCAGGAGGCTGAGATCTGAGAATAGCAATTTGAAGACAGCTTGGGCAGACTAAGACATTTTTGGTGTATGCCTAGACTGCCTTCAAACCACAATTCTTTTTTTTTGCCCGCTGTGAGGAACTCTGGTCCTTTGCGCTGCCCCTCAGCTCTTCAGCTCAAGGCGAGTGCTCTACCACTTGAGCTATAGCACCACTTCTGGTTTTCTGGTGGTTTATTGAGTTAAAGAGTTTCACGGACTTTCCTGCTAGGGCTGGCTTTGAACCGCAATCCTCAGATCTCAGCCTCCTGAGTAGCTAGGATTACAGGCGTGAGCCACCGGTGCCTGGCCAAACCATAGTTCTTAGATCTCAGCCTTCTGAGTAGCTAGGATTGCAGATGTGAGCCACCAGTGCTTAGCTCAAATTGGACTCTTATCTTGAACTTGGCTTTTCTGTCAGTCCCAGAAGTCTAGTATTGGGGCTTCAGGATGTAAAGGAGATAGAAAGGAACCCTAAATTCATTATGTTCTCTTTAGAAACGCTATGTGCTAGAGGAAGCTGAGCAACTGGAACCTCGAGTTAGTGCTCTAGAAGAAGACATGGATGATGTGGAGTCCAGTGAAGAGGAAGAAGAAGAAGATGAGAAGGTGAGGCACCTGAGAGTGTAAAGGTGGAGGAGGTTGGGAATGGTTTATCTTTTGTTTCTGCTTCCAGGTTTGTTTTTCAACTTGAACAACAAAAATACTTGTAAAAGTTTTTGAAGGGGGCTGGGAAGGTGGCTCAGTGGTAGAGTGCTTGCCTTGCATGCATGAGGCCCTGGGTTCGATTCCTCAGCACCACATAAGCAAAAAGAAAAAAGCCGGAAGTGGTGCTGTGGCTCAAGTGGTAGAGCACTAGCCTTGAGCTGAAGAGCTGAAGGACAGCGCCCAGGCCCAGAGTTCAGGCCCCACAACCGGACCCAAAAAAAAAAAAAAAAAGACTGGTAATCTTGCTGTACTTTTCAGTTGCTAATGAATTTTAATTCATAATCAACTTTTCAAACTTAAGCCAAGTCACTAGTATAAAATATAAAGTAAGGTTATTCTGTTTTTCAGCCTGTAACAGTTTTTTTAAGTTATTGGTCACTGGCAGGTAAGAGCTAAAAACAAGTATATATAATACTGTAATATAAGTAAAACCCAGATTTCTGGTTGCCAGGTAACCCATATGGATCTTGCCTAGTGGTATACTGCTTTTAGAAAGGGAGGCTGAGTTGGAGCATTCTCCCTGTTGAAGGTTTTGAGTGTTTATTAACAGAAGTAGGATTGAGCTGGGCACAGGGCACCTCAGGAGGATAAAATATGAAGATTGCAGTCCAAGGCCATCTTGGGTAGGAAAGTCCATGAGACTCTTAACTTCAATTAACTACTAGAAAACAGATAGTAGAGCTATGGCTCAAAGTGATAGGGTGCAGTTGAGCAGAAAAGCTCAACAGTGCAAAAAAAAAAAAGGAGGGTTGAGCACCAGTGGCTAACACCTGTAATCCTAGCTATCCAGGAGGCTGAGATCTGGAGGACTGTGGTTTGATGCCAGTTCAGAAAGGTTAACTGGACTCCATCTTCAAAATAACCACCAAAAAGCAGGTCTGGAGGCCTAGTTGTGGTGGTAAAATGCCAGCCCAGCAAGTGCAAAGCCCTAAATTCAAACCCTAGTTTGAACAAAAGGTAAGTAGAGAGAAAAGTAAACACCTTTGTGTACCTTATAACCTAGTTTCCAATACCTGACAGGAGATGAAATATTGGGCTGCCAATCTTAAAGAAAACCTTGAATGTTCACACCATATTTTAATATAGAACCACACAAGATCAGGTATCTCATTAAAAAAGAAATCATCTGATTCTATTAAAATTCTGAAGGATATAGGACAAACTAACACACACACACACAAAACTGATCTTATTTTAGTGTTGTAAACATTCTCAACTTCCTGAATTTCATGGAATATTTCAAATATTCTCCATGGTGGAAAGTATGGCAAGAGTACAGGTAGTGTCCTATATAAATAATCTGTATCTGAGGAAGAAAAAAATAATATACTCTCCTTTAAATATTTTTACCTACTTATTCACATTCCCAAACCTATCTATAGCATCATGTGGCCTAAAACTCTTAAGGGTTAGAAAAGCTACATCACCTCACCTTATTATATGCTATCAACAACTTGAGTGTGATTTCCAACACAGTGTACTATATAACATTCTGACCAACAAGTCTACATGGTCCCGTAAGATTTTGAAGCTGAAAAGTACTCCTTACATAGTGAGGTTGTAGGCATGACATCATAGCACAACATATTAACAGTTTAGACATGTGCTGGCATAAACTCATTGTACTGCCAGTCATATGAAAGGACATGCAAGCCGGACACTGGTGGCTGACACCTATAATCCGAGCTACTCAGGAGGCTGAGATATGAGAATCATGGGTCAAAGCCAGCCTGGGTAGAAAAGTCCGTGAGACTTTTTTTTTTTGCTTATGTGGTGCTGAGGAATCGAACCCAGGGCCTCATGCATGCAAGGCAAGTGCTCTACCACTGAGCCACCTTCCCAGCCCCAAGTCCGTGAGACTTTATCTCCAGTAAACCACCAGAAAACTGGAAGTGGCACTGTGGCTCAAGTGGTAGAGTGCTCACCTTGAGCTGAAGAGCTCAGGGACAGCACCCAGGCCGAGTTTAAGCCCCATGACCGGAAAAAAATTAAAATAAAATAAAATAAAAAGACATGTAATCTTTTTCAGTGCCTAAAACTACACTCTTTAGCATCTTACAAAAAAAATTCGTTTAATGTAAAGTGTGCTATGTCACATCAGAAGCATCCTCATGTATCTTGTATTACTTTCATGACTGATCATGAGTTAGAGCTAGTGATTGGCTTATGCCATCTACATTTGTGTATATTTTGATGTTGACACAAAAATGCAATCAGCAAATGGTGTCTTTCTCAGCATGTATCTCACAACAATGTGGCACATGATTGTAATTCTGTAGTCACTAATTCACAAGGTTTTGGGTTTCTTGGTGTTG